TAGGAAAGGCCACTTCAGCAAGCAAGATGATTTGGCTGGATTAACCGAAGATGGATGGGGATTTGGCAACGATAACTTCACTGCAGCTCTTGCTGCCAGCTTTCGGACATCTAGATTTGGCGAAGGCAATACTTCCCAACATATTGGAGATCCAAATAAGTTAACAAGCAAGACTACAGCTTCTCAACCAGTTGGTTGGGCTGGTTTCTAACTTAAGGCATGTTCTCATTGACTGAACTTAGCTGAACTGAACTGAATTGAGCTGAACTAAACTAAACTGAACTGAATTGAACTGAGCTGAACTGAACTGAACTGAACTGAATATTTTATAAGAGAAGGAAATTAGGAGCTGAACTGAACTGGATTTCAACGTAAGAGAACAAGCCCTTAGGATGGATAGAGGGATTTTTTTTGTATTGTTGACTTGTTCATATAGTTCTTCATGATTTGATATCATATTCTTCATGATATAATCGTTTAAGATGCTTACCTTTGGAATCAATTCACCAAGTTTGGTTGGAAGGTAGTCTATGTATAAACAATAAGTTTCATTCTAATAATCTCTTTTTTTTTTTGATGCAAAGCCGGGGGCAATAATTAGATTCTAATAACATTTGATTTCACAAAAAATTGACTCGAATCCTTGTATAAAAGGATGATCAATTAAGCTAATTCATCTAATTCTCTTCCTTAAATACAAGAAATGATTTTCTATTGCCCCTATATTCAACTCTTTTATTCTTATTAATTTAGGTGTTCTAATCTGAAAATGAGAAACGAATAAAAATAACTTATATCAAACCTTCTCACAAAAATTTGTGGGAAAAGAATATGACAAAACCACTTCCATCAATTTACACTTTCATTTATCAATGGAAAAAAAAGTTAAATTTTTAATTTAATGCAATTCTTACTTTCTTAGGTGTGCACATTCGGAGTTCTCAAAAAAAAAAAAAATTCTTGGAATTTGATTCGTTTAAAATTAGAACACAAGAGTTGAGAGAGGGAGTCAAAAGAAGTACGTAGTAGAGAATGACAGTATCCTCGTCATTTCTCACTCTCAATTCTCAAATTCAATTACTCCCTCAAATCCCTTCAAAATCAATTATAAACCCAACTCCTAAATCCATCTTTAGCACAAGTACAACTAATTTTTCTTTCACCCACCTTGTTGTTAGCACCAATTTCGATCGAAATCAGACGATTATGGCTGCTTCTTCATTATCATCATCCATTTCAACTGATCAATTTAAGCCTTTTCAGCTTGATGTTATGTCAGATTTTTATGCGATTTCCTCTCCTAGGGGATATGTCTCCATTTGCGGTTTTGGGTCTCTTCTTTCTGGTAAAAATTCATTTCAATTATTCTCCAAAATTCTATCTTTTTCCTGAATTTTTTCTGGGTTTTATTTGGTGGGGTTGAGGATTTTCATATGTTAGTCAATTGGAGGTCCTGTAATTATATGTGATACTATTAAAATTTTGATAATATTTTAACTTGATAGTGGGTGAGGAAGTAATGAATTAGTGGTTTTGAGGGCGATTTTACCATTCATGTATGTGAGATTGATCAATATCGGATATTAACATCATTGCGGGCATGGTAGTAAGGAAAAAGTATGGAGCTTTTCATATTTTATGTTATTGCAATGTTGCTTATGATCATTGTTAATCATAATGTTAGATTTTATTTGATCCTTTTTTAGACCAATTCATGTATTTCACTTAATCACTTTAACTTAAATATAACTCCAATTAAATGCTAATATGTGGCTTACTTAAGAGCAAAGTTCAAGAGGATGATATTGGTAATTTTGGTATAGCAAAAAGATGGCCATGATTTATTGATATTGTCGTTAAATATAATCTCAATTTGTTAAATCAATATTTGAAACTTAATCCTTGATTGTGAGTGTGATAACAATGGTATTGTTTTTTAGCAGAGAGGAGTGCAAGAAGTACATTTCCTGATTTGGCTAACTTTAGGATAGCGCGGTTGAAAGGTTTTAGGAGGGTTTTTGCTCATGTTGCTCCTATCTTCTTCGAACGTGGCATTGCTAAGCCTGAGACCAAGGTCATTTCGATCTTTACATCGTTTTTCATTGTTCTTAACTTCATTTTTTTTTTCTTAGTTAATTTAAACATATTTCTGCTGATGTTGAGATTATTCTCTGAAACTTAACAATGTATAATTTGTTATTCTTCTCCTTCAAGGTACTATTCAATCCATTTATGTGTCTGGTGTTTGTTTTTGCTGCTGATTTACTTAAATAGATGGTTCGTCCAATGAAACTATACTTAGAAATCTAGATTTATTGCAAATACCTAAGGTAATTTATTACATTGAAATCAGCAAGGGTTGTTCATAATGTATATGAGAAGCCTGGCTATGTTCTAAGTAGTACTGTGAGATAAGTGGACAATCAAAGTAGGACAGTCAGAAGAGAACATAGGTATTATTGGGCGATGCTAATTGTAGTCCAACTTACCTCCAGTTTTCCTGAGCATAACATGTACTGTTGCCTCACTTCTTTGGTTCTTCCTGATAGACTCATGTTCAGTTTGGCTTAATTTTTAATGTTCTCGTAACTTTCTTGCGCAATATGCTAACAGATTAGTTATAAACATATCAGGAGATCTCAAGTTTAAGTGTGGAGCCTTGTGAAGGAGAGGAGCTCATAGTTACTGTGTTCCAAATTCAAAAGTCAGAGGTACATAGGATAATCAATGCCTCTCTTTTGTGTATATTCTCCAATACATTTTCATATGACCACATGGTATTTACTTAGTCCGTCAATTTGATGAGTTCAGGTACCTTATTTTATGGAGAGGGAGCTTGAGTTCCGATTTTTAGCTGTAAGTTGAGAGCCTATGTCATGAAGTTTGATTGTTTATTCTTATTACTGATAATTTAGTTCCCAGATCATTCTTATATCTGATTATACAATACCATGTGTCATCTTTGCAGGTTCTGCCAGAAACAATAAAAGGGACTCCTTTTAAGAATCCAGCGGTATGTTCTAATCTTTGAACTTCAGCTCACAAATCAAAATTGATTAACACTTATTCTTGTGGGAAATATGTAGGTGCTATGTACTCGGTACAGTGATGAGGAATTTTTCAATGTAAGATGTGAAGGTAATTTTCCTCTGTATCTGTTACTCTGTTAGTCCATAGTCCTGAATTCTATTTTGTGTCATGCAGTTTCTTTTTCCCCTCTACAATCCTTATGGTCTGATATCACTTGTACCTAAAATGTGTAGAGTTTGGTTTTCACTTTTCTAGTTCATGTTTTGATGCCATTATACGCATAAAAATTATCATAATCAATCATGTTGAGTCTGAGTCATTCCTCCCCCCCCCCCCCCCTCCCCTCTTCTCAAACCTCAGCTGAAACTTATCTACTACGTAAGATTTTCAATCTAAATCATTGCTTTCTTCTTCTAGAACAAAATTTTGTTCAAATCCAGTGACAAGAAACATTATGGTGATTGTCATTTCAGAAAAGCATTCTAAATTTGTTTTACTCCGTATTAATAATACAGAATCAGAAAAATTGGGATTAATATCATTTAATTTTCACTGTTATTCAGAACTGAAACTCACTCTGTCAAGTACATGTGCAGGAAGTAAAGAAGTATACCATCAGCATTATGGACGATATAACATAGATAAAATATGGAGGGATGATGTTTTTCCTTGTCGAACTTACCTGCGCCATTGGTAAGATTTTAGGTATCCTATATCAGGCTTGAAGATGTCATGAGGTTGTATAGTTAAGATCATCCTGTAATCTGATGTATTTATGCAGTGTTTTAGCAGCAAAGAATCTTGGAGATGCAGCCTACAACAATTTCTTAGATCATACATACCTCGCTGATCGTCAGACAACCATTCGTCAATACCTGGCAACAGCAGGTGCAGGTATAATGGAAGAGGAACCTCCAGAATCCCTGAAGACTCGTTACGGTGGTTGAGCTGACCAGGAGAATACAATCCAATAGCATTCATAATCTATGTAAAACTGTAGCTGATTAGGATCCTTAACTTCAGGTTTGGGAACTTGCAAAATCTGACTGTAAAACTTATTCCCTGTGGATACTCTTGTGCATTTGACCGCATTTAACGCTTAAAATGTCATAATAAATCAGATGTTTTCATATGCATGGATACGTTCTATATAGGGATGAAGTGTTGTATAAGCATAGTAAAACTTCCTGGTCGAAGAAGGTATTTGTGAGCATATATGATTCTACTGGAAGATGGTGGATTCTACTATCCCCAATTCCCAACTACACTTTTGCAGGAACTAGGTTCTGTGATCAAATTCCTCAAACAAATCATTTAGGGTCTGTTCTTATTGACTGAACTCAGTTGAACTGAACTGAAATGAAGTAAAATGAATATTTTATAAGAGAAGGTAATTAGGAATCAATTCCCAACTACACTTTTGCAGGAACTAGGTTCTGTGATCAAATCCTCAAACAAATCATTTAGGGCTTGTTCTCATTGACTGAACTCAGTTAAACTGAACTGAAGTAAAATGAATATTTTATAAGAGAAGGTAATTAGGAACTGAATTGAACTGAAAATAAACGTATGAGAACAGACCCTTAGTCCGTTTTGCCATGTATCTGGTGCTAGTGTCTTTAAACTGGTGCTCAAGAAGATTTTTTGTCATTTGAGGTGATGCCATGGTTTGCATAGGTCTATTTATTCTCAAGAGGTTTTTCAGCTTTGCACGGTCAAGGCACAAGGACGATTCTTGTTTGAATCTTCGCCAGTTGGAGACATTAACACTTCCTCTAGTTGAGCCGGTTTGAGTATAGTGTAAGGGATTCTGGTTGTTGGTTAATGTCTGGATGTCTTTGTTAAATACATGTTTCGTTGTTAGTGTTAATTTTCGGAAAACTTAAAAGCACATCTCTATCAATACTAATAGCTTGAACGGTGCATCAAACATAAGCAAGACGAATAATCCTTTGAGGAGATTTCCAACATGTATAAACATGGAAGTATATGGTATTGATTTAATTTTCTTTTGTATCACTTGAGAGTGTTTGGTCATTTTCAAGTTCATTGATAAGCTGTTCCATCGTTTTCTTATACATTGGCATATAATGATCATTAATCATCATTTTTGTCAATCTAATTTTACTATACAAATGTCTAGGTGTTTCGTAAATACCCACATGTTCCTCAGCGGCATCGTTGTCACCTGAACTAGCATCATTGGAAAAACGAGCACATACCATATGCATGATTCGTCCTGGTGGGTAAAACTGATGATTCTCTTGGATGTCTGTAGTGGAAATCTGTTGCTTATTCTCCACAGCATCAGCTAACATATGTGCCTCTTCAGTAATCTCTTTAACAGTGGCAGCTTCTTCCTCCTGCGCTTGAACTTGAGCCTGAGCTTCCTCTTGTTTCTCAAGTTCCTTCTGTAGCTGGTACCACAGCTCACCTTCAGTCACAGCCTCCATTGTTGATGTGGTTATATCTTTATCTGCTGCCAGAAGTTGCTCTTCCTCTTCCTCTTCCTCTGTGTCAATTTCGTGTACTGAACCTTCACTTGAAAAGTTGTAATCACCATCATGCATTTCGATGTCTCTAGAAGCTACTTCTGTCACAAGAACTTCTGATGTACTGGTGGTAGTAATCAATGAGGCCTCAGCCATATTCTCCTCTTTCAGGTTTATTGATTGACCCACATTCCGACGTCGCGCTCCCATACAGGACCACGAAGACAAGGTTGGACGGGTACGGACAACGGCTTGTGCAACATCCTGAGCACGCCTCATCACAACCTACACATACATAATGATGAATAAGCCAAAGCCTACTTTTTTCCTGAAATCTACAACCACAATTTATTACTCTGTATCCAATACTTTTGGTAACCTTTCAGTCAATCACCCATATCCTGCAACTTTAACTTTTAAATCCACTATTTGTTAGATATTTTGTGCATCCCCACTACCCTCCAATGCCTCTAAAGAAGCTCGCACTCTGAGTGGGGCAGGGAGTTGGATATAAAGTTATAAACAACTACATAATCTACTTGACCAATTGTAATAATTTTTGAAAAAATTATTTTTTTTCAAATTTGACCCTTTGGCAGTGGAATTGCAGTTTGCTACTTCAAATTTTTACAAAGAGCAAGAAAAAGGGTCAACGAGCCATTTGAATTTGAATCAGTAGGATCAAAAAGTCAAAGTCAGTGGACAATATAGCAAATGTTTATGACTACCAAAATCACAATTTGCAAATGCTTGCAGAATTCAAATACAGGCATTAGGTTCAACCTTTTGACAGAAATATCCTATTGATAGTTAGCATTAGAGCACTTATCCACCCTCACAGACCCCCCCCCCCTCTTCTCTCTCTCTCTCTCTCCTAAAAAAAGTTTCATTAGGCACCCAATAGGTAGTTAGAACATTAGGTACTATCAAGCTATCTAAGTAAGCAATGACGAAAGAAAAGTAATTTGTTTACACACGTCCAAACCTTTTTATCTATAGTGATCTGAGTAGGATAGCAAATGAAAAATTGATCTTCTTTTCCTTTTTTATCACAAATATGAAGCTTTATTAGCCCCCATGACCTAAGCTGAGTTCTTCATAAATCTATTACAAACCAATCCAATAATTACCTGAGTGCCACTGGAGACAGGACGAAAAAGAGCACCAGCACCAGCAACCCTAGCCTTAGCAGTGGTGGCTATATATTGTGTACGGGACCCTATGGCTGAAGCAGAGCGGTAGACGACATTTAGGACTCTTGTTCTCTCAACTTGATCACGTAAATCATTTAACCATGATGATGCAGTGACCTGCTCACAAGTCAAAAGTTTGAGCCATGTTCATACAGGAAGCAATATAGACATATAATGAAGTATGAAGAAAAGCATGAAGAGATTCCAGCACCTCAGAACGAAGAGCATCAATAGATGTAGTTGAAAACGTCGGCACTAAATCAGCACCATTGATGACTGTAGAAATGAAATGCTTGCCTGATTCTGCCAATTCCCACGTCATACAAGCAGCTGCAAGAATGGACTCTACTGTTAAGCAACTATATGACTTTAACAAAATACTCCCTCAGTCCCTTATAAAAATATACAAAATAAATAAAGAAAACACACACACTTTTAATTCAAGCAATCCCCCAAAAAGTAGGCCACTTACAAACTGAACATTCCCATTATACCCGTTAATACTGCCTCTTAAGTGAGAATATTTTATGGTTATGGTTGAGAAGTGAGAATTCTAAATTGTGAAGAATAGTTATGAATTTTTACTTGATACTTTAAAACAATCTCTGTATCAAGTATGCCTTATAATTCAAGGATGGAGGATAGATCCAAATGAATAGAAAATTTATATATTTTTGTAACTCTTCATTTTGTGCCACTTATTTTTCTTTATTACATGAAACAAGCACTCAACATATAGGACGACTTGTAAAGGGTAAAAATAAAAAATCACAGGATACATTTGATGGCACTCAAAATAGGTCAAGTAAGATAAATACCTGGGGCAAATGATACACAGGTACTAGAGGAAAACTCCTTTTGTTCTCGGAAAATGTACGTCAACAAAGCAGCAGTTCCACCACCAAGGGAATGACCAACAACCTGAAGCACAAAAGGGAGCCACTCAACCCTTTAGAAACATCAATCACAGCATATACTATGTCAGCAATTAATTAGATAGTATACACAAGCTTCAGTACATTAGTTAAGGATGAAAGTGCAACAAGGAGTTGCATTATTTTACTTTCAATTCTAAATAACTATCAATTATATGTCCATATGACCAGTAAATTAACCCCCACAACAAGTTCAGATAGCACAAATATATACATGCACAAATGTACAAGGCATGTAGAACATATAGATCCAATATACAACACACAAATATAGACATATAGTCAATTAGTCACCAAATGCATTGCTTACCTTGATATTATAATCAGGATTATCATTTAGAGCTTTGATGAGGCAGGGAGTGCTAAGCTTAGCTATCCAACGAGCTGCAGCTACCATCCCACAATGAGCATATCCCAGAATTAAATTGCTAATCCCTCCATCATGTAATACAGAATGATGAAAAGGCACAACTGCACCAGTTGCTGCTGTTAATGTATCTTTGATACTGTGAGTACCTCGAATCAACAAAAGGAAACATTTGTTGCCATGATCACTTATAATTGTAAAAGCAGGCTTCAGAAGCTGCAAATATTTGACCATCAAACACAAACTTCTTTAGAATAAGAGACAAAATCAACAGCAAAATAGAGTAAAGAGTATCACCCTCAAAAAGCCAAAGTTGTATTACAGAAATTAAGTAGATTAAAATAGAGAATTACAACTACCAATCAACTCCATGCATATGAATATACTTAATACATTATGCTTCCAGGAAAAAAATAGTATGGAATATTGGGTTACAGTGGTGCTGTTTCATACAAAACTTTGTTTCAGTTGTTATGTCCTATATATAATGCATCAACGGAACAAACCAAGAAGTTTTTTCAAGAGAAAATACAACAATGGTATCGGTATGTGCTGTTGATACTGGACAAAATGCTCTACGAATGATGGCCTAAAATCAGAAACACCAAAAAAGAAACATGCAGAAGTTGTTTGCTTACAGCAGCTTTGGGCTTTTGAAGAAGAACATCAGCCTCTGAGAACCCAGCAGACTCCAAAAACACAGGAAATGGCTTCTTGGAGAAAAGCATACAGAGAGTTAATAGCCTCAGTAAATGTTTTAATTCAGCCACGATTTCAGGACCTTTGAGCTGTATACAATCGCCTCCAGCATAAACACCTGCAACTTGTAAATCACCCTGTAAAGCATAGTTTCAGAGTCAAATAAACTCAACACTGACAAAAAGAAAGACCATATAACTACGACAGTTTCCATAGAACTGTAAACTTCACGAAATACCTAGATCTCAGTCTCTTTTTGGAGAGTGTAAACTGTATTCCATTGTGAGCAATGCTTGTCAAAAGTGTTATTACAAAGAAGTTTGCTCGGTTAATCTACTTTCAGGAGTAGTTAAAAGAATTGTCAGATTCTTAACCTTATAAAAAAAACACCTACAATGCAAGTAGGATTCACCTTTGAAAAGTACAAAAAAAAAATTGGGCCAATTTTTGTTTTACATATTAAAGATAACAAGGTGCATAGACAGATTGTTTTGAAACTTGAAAATTGTGTTTTTTTTTTTTTTTTTTTTTTTTTTTTTTGGTTTTGTTTTTAAATATAGCCCAAGAAGCTTTCATCTTTTGCCTAGGAAATTATACACATTAAGGAGTGTTAGGAAATCCCAGGGAAAACAATAACAATCGTAGCCTTAATCCCAAATATGGGAAACAACCCAGAGTATAAAACCTGAAATCAGAGACTAAATGAAAACTATACAACACCCCTATAAGAACTCAGGAAGGCTCCCTTTAGAAAATTATACCCTATATAGGCCTATATAGCTCATCTTCTTTCTCGAATGACAATCTTCTCTTACCATCTTAAAAAGAAAACCCAAAGCAGGCATCATTGTGAATCCTCCGACATCTCCATTGAAGGCATATGTCACGATAAGGTTCACTAATTCATCATTGTTAATGAAAGACAAGTGCCACTGCTGCAGCAACATAACAACCAAAAGCCCACGTTTAGCTATGTCCAAAAAGGTCAAGAAGTATACAGCCTTATTTCCAAATTTCTGACCAATAAAGACTAGCAGGCTAGCAGCATTGCAGCGAATACCATAACACTTCAATCTCCCTATATTTATAAATATCTCAACTTCTTCCCCACAACTTATAACCACTACATTGATATTTTGCATCATTCAGCCAACCTTGAGTCTCATAAATAAAAGTCAGAAACTCTTAAAGTACAGTTATAGCATCGGAAGAGTTGATCATCACACCCATCAATAATCATGAACACACCGGCCATTACCCACTCTAACTCACCAGCAGACATAAGAACCAGAGATAGAGTAACAAGGAGGAAATATAAAGAATCGAAAAAGCTTAAACAATGACCAGCTGATGGGGAAGCTGAGAAATAATGGAAAGTGCTATTCAAGGTAGGAAGTGAAGTAATGGATTACTCCCCTGATGTGACAACTAGTCAACAATTACGTATCACTAGTATAATTAGACAGTTACCACAGCCTACAGGCATATATGGCCATTGGTCACTGATAATCAAAGACACCCTCATTTGATAAGAGTTAATCTCAGAACTTGAAATCCCTCAGCCCGTCATAGAGAAGGTTGCATGATCATCTCACCAGGATAGGTTAGCATGCTTTTATTGATAACTAATATGCATGGTGATACTCACCAGTAAACAGCTAACTCTAATAACCCAAAACAAACACATCTTTCCCTACGCATTTCACCTCCAATGCATGAAAGAAATCCTCTATATATGAAGACTATTGTAAGCATTTAAGCTAATTACCTAAATATTAGCATACACCATTTGAACATTATTGTAAGCATCTAATTAATTCCGGAAAAATAGAAGACCTTTATTGTACATAGTACTTCCAAACCAAATTTGAGATTCCCAGAGAAATTTAACCTCATGCTTCCATTCCATTCTCTCATTTTCCAATCAACACCCTACAATTTGACCCCATTATCCCTGCATCACCATCACCTTTGTCCTTTAAACCCTTTTCACCAAATTCCCAAAAACCAAGTCTCCCTCTTAGTAAGATCCCTAGATTAATAACAAAAGATCATCCAATCCTATGAATCATAAAATCATTCATCTTATCTTAGATTAACATATAAGACACATAATCTAATAAAGGTACCTTCAAACTACACATATAAATAAAAGTCCCTAGCTTGCAGATAATACAATCACAGCACTTCAAAATTAAATCATTAGCTTGCCTCTAAGGTACGACATGCAGGCTTAATTGATACAGGGTGATTCAGATTGCTTGGCAATTGACAATTTCCAATCTTTAAGCTAAAATTATAAACTTTCCCAAATACCAACCAACAAAAATCACTAAACCAAAATTAATCTTACACTAATCAACAGTAAATCAAAGCTTAATCAATCAAAATCAACCTAAATCACCAGAAATTCCAGAAAAAAAAAATCAACAAACCTGCCGACGCATGAGATAATTGATCCCAAAAGCCAAATCACCGAGAGGCCATTTCCCCAAAGTTTCCGAATACGTAAACCTTAAAGTTTCCGACAAAGTACTAATCGTCTCAAACCAAGTCGCCGGAGCTTGCGCAGGCCGCCGAGAAATCTTCCGTCTAATCGATCGTGTTTCACCATCATTACAACTCCGATCATCACCATTTTCATCAGAATTCGCCGATAATCTCCGATTCAAAAGCACATACAACACCAGAATAGCTCCGGCGGCAGTCGCCATCGCCGCCGTCGCCATCTCCGATCAAAAATCCCAGAAATCGAGAAAATTGGGGGAATGAGACAGAAATTTATGAGTTGAAGAAGAGGGGAGAGTTGAGGTGAGTCTGTAATGGAGGGAAAACTGGAAAAGCGATGACGGAGTTGAAAGGAAATGACGATAATGCCCTTGAAATAGGGGGTTTAAAGGTGAGAAAGTAGGGGTAAAAGAGTAATTTCCGGATGGAAGGGAGAAGGAAGAAGAGAGGAGCAATGGAGTCGAGGGGAGTGTAGGGAGTTGGGAGACAGAGGAGAGAGAATTTGTGAAAGGATAAGGACAAAATATTATGACAATGGAAAAAAAAAAGGATGTATGATTTTTATATGTGTAATAAAAAAAATTTGGATTTGGATTTGGTTGAAAATTAAAAAATTATGATTAGGAGTTTTTTGTAATGATTAATGGTATCGTTATGGTAAATTGATAAGTTATTGAGTCATTGTCTATTGTAGATCGATTTGTTGATCTTTATGTTATGGGTGTGTAAATTTGGATTTGGTTGATTATTTTGAGTTATTCTGGTTAACTATCCACGTTAAATCGTTAACTTTTTTTATCTTGATAGAAAACTTTTTAGTAATTAAATTAGGTAAGCTAGAGCGTAGTACTCTGTTGATTACGGTTGTCTAACTTGATTTAAATTCAATTCAGATAATATATGTTCAAATAAGTCCAGAGTTCATGTGTGACAATATAGGTTTTAATGAGTTTAAATCAGATAAGTTTATACTTTGTAACTAATAAGAAGATTGATGAGATAAGATAATACTTTGTATAATTACAAATAAACTAATTAATTATATATTAATTTATTGCGCCAAACCATCAAGTGTCGTGCCAGAATAAGATTAGATAAAAATCTTATTTTCAATCAAATTAGGATAGAATTTTAGAATAAGATTATTAGTTTAGAGTTATTTCTTCGGTAAAATACCAAATAATAAATTTATAATTAGGCCACAAGACAACATCATTTAGCGTTTTAATTTTTCGCCAAGTATCTACCACGTTGGATAAATATAGATTGACTTTGTAGCAAAAAAAGTTAATTTATAATTCTATTTTCAATCAAATTGAATTATGATAATATAATTTTATTTTTAAAAAAAGTCCATAACTACCCGGGCATCGCCGGGGCACAAAACTAGTTATAAATAAACTAATTAATTATATATTAATTTATTGCGCCGTCAAAAAATATATATAAATAAATTAATGAATTAATAAGATAAGATAAATGAAGTTTAGTCAAATAGAACATTGTCCTAATTTGATTTTTATTTTTTTTATTTGAAATGTCGTCTTAACTTAATACTTAGCACAATTAAGCTATAATGAAATTCATAATGAGTTAATGACTATGAAGCAAACTAGAGCTGTCAATTCGGGTAAACGGGTCAGGTAAGAGTGCGTCGGGTCAACTCGGGTCGGGTCATTTCAGATTAATTCCATAACTTATGAGGGTCGGGTTTGGGTTGGGTCATGCTTGAGTAGGGTCACGTCGGGTCATACTTCTTATCGGATTTGGGTCGGGTTTAGGTCGGTTTAATAACAGGTCGGTTACATTCGGGTCGGTTGAACAATAGGTAGGGTTTAATTCGGGTTAAAACGGGTTAGGGTAATTCTCGGGTTCGAGTCGGGTTTGATTCAAGTCAATATTTTGCGAGTTAGGATCAAGTCGGGTCATTCTCGGGTTTGAGTTGGGTTCGGTTCAAGTCAATAATTTGCGGATTATAATCAGGTCGGGTCATTCTTGGGTTCAAGTCGGGTTAATTAGGTTTAAGTCAATAATTTGTGGGTTATAATCAGGTTGGGTCATTTCCAAGTCAAGTCATTCTCGGATTCAAGTCGGTTATGTTCAAGTCAATAATTTGCAGGTTACAATCAGGTCGGGTCATTTCCAAGTCGGGTCATATTCGGGTTCAAGTAACTAAAAATAGATAATTATCATTTTTATCAAGCTAATTATTTCCTTTGACTAAAATATACATGGCAATATCTAGGGAAGTATAGTTTATAATTTAGAAAAATAATTATCTCCTTTGACCATACAAAAAATATATACGTCGTACTATATTTAAGTCTTAAATTTGAGTATAATCTACCTTTCTTTTGCTGGCCTGGACCGACTTGGTCTCCCAAGACAAAATGCTTTGATCAACAATAATAAGGTAGTTTAAATTGTATTTAAGGTGATTTGAAATCAAATCAGGAACAATTTGGGTTGAATTTAGGTCGGTCAATAACAAGTCATGTTAATTTCGAGTCGGGTTAGTAACAGATCAGGTTGAATTTTTGGGTTAGGTAAGTAATAAGTATGGTAAAATTCGGGTCGGGTAAAAAACAAGTCGGTTGAATTTGGGTTAGGTCAATAACAAGTTGAGTTGATTTCGGGTCGGGTTTGTAACGGGTTGGGTTAAATTCGGGCCGGGTTGAATTCAGGTCAGGTTAGTAACAAGCTGGGTTAAATTCAGGTTTTTGACGGGTTAAACAGGTTTGGGTCAATTTCGGATCAAGTCGGATTCGGTGCAAGTTAATTAAATTGGATGTTGTAAACAGTGAATCGGTGCAAGTATAAATAGATAAATTGGCTGTTTAAAAGCAAATTGAATGGTTCAACACACCCAATTGGACTCCCAGAGAGTATTAGGTACCATAGTAAACATTTCGGCAATTTTTATTTTCGGGAGAAAAAAAAGTCAAAAAAATTCCAAAATTGAAGGCTAATATCCACGCTTTTTGTGAAATTTTGGAGGTTTCGGGGCTCGGTGTTGAAAAGTCTTGAAATTCTATGGGATACATCTCCAGGTCATATATTGCCGATTTGGAACCATATATGATCATTATTTGTTGTAAAAAATGTTCGTGGTAGGCTTGAATTAATGAAATCGGTGCAAGTTGTAAACTGCTAAAATTGGTCGTTTAAAGGCAAATTGGATGGTTCCACCAACCCAATTGGACTCCCGGAGGATATTAGGGACCATGGTAAACATTTCGGAAATTTTTATTTCCGGGCAAAAAAAAGTCAAAAAATTCCAAAATTGAAGACTAATATCCACGCTTTTTGAGAAATTTTGGAGGTTTCAGGACCCGGTGCCGAAAAGTCTTGAAATTGCTTACTCGCTTTGAGTCAGAAATAGGATAGATAATGCCTGTATCAAGTAATTTAATAACCTTTTTCTTGACTACTTCCTGCATATTAGGATTCAACCTTCTCTTGTGTTAAATATAGGGCTTATAGTTGTCTTCTAAATGTATCCTGTTGTAGGGAATATTTCAAGCATTACCCCAAACTTGAACCCCACTGTGATCATACGCTTAAGTATGGTGGCGTCCAAAGGGAAGGAAGATAAAGCAAAAGAGTCGCCAACAAGTTTTCGAGGTCATATAATGTCATTTGGAACCATATATGATCATTATTTATTGTCATAAATGTTCGTGGTAGGCTTGAATTAATGAAATCGGTGTAAGTTGAAAACCGGTAAATTGGTCGTTAAAGGAAAATTGGATGGTTCCACCCACGCACCCAATTGGATTCCTGGAGGGTATTTGGGACCATGGTAAACATTTCGTCAATTTTTATGTCCAGGCAAAAAAAATTCAAAAATTTCCAAAACTGAAGGCTAATATCCATGTTTTTTGAGAAATTTCTAATGTTTTGGCCCGATGTCGAAAAGCATTGAGATTTTAGGGGATCCATCTCGGGGTCATATAATGCTATTTGGATCCATATATGATCATTATATGTTGTATTCATAAATGTTCGTGGTAAACTGTAGTTAATGAAATCGGTGCAAATTGTAAACAGTAAATTGGTCATTTAAAGGCAAATTGGATGGTTCCACACAGCCAACCGGACTCCCGGAGGGTATTAGGGACCATGGTAAACATTTCGGCAATTTTTATTTCCAGGTAAAAAAATTCTAGGATTGAAGGCTAACATCCACGCTTTTTAAGAAATTTTGGAGGTTTTGGGTAGAGCTGTCAATTCAGGTAAACGGGTCGGATTTAGGTTGGTTAGAGTGGGTCGGGTCAAATTGAGTCGGGTTAATTCGGATAAATTCCATAACCTATGCAGGTTAGGTTTGGGTTGGGCAAGCTTGAGTCGGGTCACGTCGGGTCATACTTCTTGTCGGGTTTAGGTTTGGTTAATAACGGATCGAATTACATTCGGGTCGGGTGAACAATAGGTCTGGTTTTCACGGGTTAAAACGGGTTAGGGTAATTTTCGGGTTCAAGTCGATTTTTTTTCAAGTCAATAATTTCCGGGTTAGAATTAGGTCGGGTCATTCTCGGGTTTGAGCCGGGTTTGGTTCAAGTTAATAATTTGTGGGTTATAATCAGGTCGGGTCATTCTCGGGTTCAAGTCGGGTTCGGTTCAAGCTAATAATTTGCGGGTTATAATCAGGTTGGGTCATTTCCAAGTCGGGTCATTCTCGGATTCAAGTAGGGTTATGTTCAAGTCAATAATTTGCAGGTTACAATCAGGTCGGGTCATTTCCAAGTCGGGTCATATTCGGGTTCAACTAACTATAAACACTACAAAAATAAAAGTTTTTTAGCAACTAAGTTTGGGAACAGATTTTTAAAATGTTGCTAAATAGCAACTATATAATTTTTTTTTCATTGACTAATTAAAAGCGATATTTTATGCTTTATTTTTTAATAATTAATGGCTACATATTTTTGATTTGTTGTTGTTTAAAACAAATTGTCTTACTAGCTGTTACTAGATGACATCATTTTTTTTTCTTGTTTCCATATAGTAACATACTATGACATGCAACAAATATTTTATTTGTATTGATTTAGAAACAAACAAAGGCAATGAGCTTTTGAATTGTTGCTTTTAGAAACAAGTCGTCTAAACTATTGTTGCTAGATGATAACGTATTTTTTTAGTTGTTGCCATTGGAAACGAGTTGTATTACATTTTGTTGTTAATTTATATGTTGGCCACTTTTTTCTATTATGTGTAAAATTATTCGAAGACACTCTTCTTATTATTTGTTGCTATAATGATATCAAATAGAGACGGATTAAAATTTCGTCTCTTATTTAGAGACGGAATTTTGATTTTGTCTCTAATTTAGAGACAAAATTTTCAATTTCATCTCTAATATTTCATTCACTTATTATAAATTATATTCCTATATGTAAACAAATAGTACTTGGTATAGTTGGTAAAAGATTCACCATGTGACTTTGAGGTCACAAGTTCGACTCCTACCAACTGCGATTCTTGTGACTGAAGATTCAAAGAGCCTTACATGCAAAGTCAAGCCGAGTTGACCTAACATGAGTAGTGTTGATAGCAATCAATATT